TGCCTGGCCCTAGAAATGTAAGCTGCAGGGGGTGCAGACAGAAAACGCCCCAAACTCGGAGTCCATGACCGAGCAGTGTTCTCAGGCCAACCCCGCCACTCCCTTGGGTGCCACTTGGCTGCCTCTGCTAAACAAAGTATCACCAAAGGCCTCACCTGCCTGAAAGCAGAGGCTGGCCCAGTCACCCGTGGAGAGCCCTTTCGGCTCCATGATATGGAGTTAAAATGCTCTGTTTGGATACAGTAGGCCCAAATATACCCTTTGGGGGTTGAGCCTTAGAGCACCGCTCCTCTGAGTAGAAAGCACATGGGAATCGCCTGGGTTTCAGGCAGATCCCAATCAGTGAGTCTGGGCGGGGGCTGAGATTCTGCATTCCAAGCTCCCGGCGGTGCTGATGCTGCTGGGTCCATGGACCACACTGAGAGTAGCAAAGGCTTAGAGGTCTTTTTTAAAAAACAGTAGGTCAGGCACGGTGTCTCATGGCTGTAATCCCAGCACTTTGGGAGGTTGAGGTGGGCGGGTCACCTGAGGTTGGGAGTTGGAGACCAGCCTGACCAACATGGAGAAACCCCGTCTCTACTAAAAATACAAAATTAGCTGGGTATGGTCATGCATGCCTGTAATCCCAGTTACTCGGGAGGCTGAGGCAGGAGAATCACTTGAATCCAGGAGGTGGAGGTTGTGGTGAGCCGAGATCGTGCCATTGCACTCCAGCCTGGACAACAAGAGTAAAACTCTGTCTCAAAACAAAAACAAAAACAAAAACAAAAAGCAGTGAAGAAAATTTATTCTGCTCATAACAAGAATCCCCAAGGTAGGGTGACCTGTGTGCCCCGCCACCCTGGCAGACACTGACTGCGCTAAACACATGTGTACGACCAAGCACGCATGAGAAAGCAGTTCATCCGCCTGCTGCGTGGGCTTGAGAAAGTCTCAGTGGCGCGTGCCTGTAGTCCCAGCTACTCGGGAGGCTGAGGTGGGAGGATCGCTTGAGCCCAGGAGTTCAGGGCTGTAGTGCGCTATGCCGATCGGGTGGCCGTACTAAGTTCAGCATCAATATGGTGACCTCCCGGGAATGGGGGACCACCAGGTTGCCTAAGGAGGGGTGAACCGGTCCAGGTCGGAAACGGACAGGTCAAAACTCCCGTGCTGATCAGTAGTGGGATCGCGCCTGTGAATAGCCACTGCACTCCAGCCTGGGCAACATAGAGAGACCCCATCTATAAAAAAAAATTAAAAAAATAAAATAAAATAAAAAAGAAAGTCTCAGCACGCTACTCTTTTAAAGTCTCTGACTGCCACCATCCCTGAAAGGGTCATTGGAGATGAACACTAGGACACCTGAGACAGAGTCCCTGTCCCCTTGCAGCTGGCACCAGACAACCAGAATCCCAGGACTGAGACGTGACTTCTGAGCCCTCTCTGTTCTATCCTCTGTACTTGGTCTGCAGCAGTTACGCAGTCTGAAGAAGGGTTCCGGGGGCAGCCCTTTGCCCCTACTCTCTCTGCTCACCTTGCTGAGTCCGGGCATCCGCATACCTGCCCAGGTGAAACCCATCCCACTCTCTCGCCCAGGCTTTCAACTGGCCCAAAGCCTGCCTGCTGCCTTGCTGACCTTCCCCTGTGGCTCCTTCCTGCTGTGAAGTTTTGCTCTTCCTCCTCCTCCTTCCACTAGGAGGGTTCCAGTAGGGAGCCAGGCAAAAGTTTCCCTATTACAGGGTTTGGAGGATGCTGGGGATTTCTTCTATGCTGTGTCTCCTCCCTGCTTGCCATCAGACTAAACATCAGAGGCCACTGCAGCAAAGCTTCTCCCCAGGTTAGGGAACAGAAGAAGCCACTTACGTAGTCATAGGGGAGTGCTGGCAGAGAAGAACTGGTGGGAAGAGGTTGGATGGGAGCTGCAGGGGTGGGAAGGGGCTCAGGAGGCAGCCTGTGTAGTGGCTTAATGCAAACATCCTGGAGTGGTATAGAGCAGTGGTCCCCAACCTTTTTGGCACTAGGGATCAGTTTTGTGGAAGACGGTTTTACCATGGACCAGTGTGGGGGTTGGGGGAATGGTTTTGGGATGATCAAAGTGCATTACATTTATCGTGTGCTTTATTTCTATTATTACTGCACTGCAATATATAATGAAATCATGATCCAACTCACCAAAATGTAGAATCAGTGGGAGCCCTGAGCTTGTTTTCCTGCAACTAGATGGTCCCATCTTGGGGTGATGGGAGACAGTGATAGAACACCAGGTATTAGATTCTCATAAGGAGCACGCAGCCTAGATCCCTTGTGTGCGCAGTTCACAATAGAGTTGGCGCTCCCATGAGAATCTAATGCCTCCGCTGATCTGAGAGGAGGTGGAGTCTAGGCTGTCGAGCAGCGATGGGGAGCGGCTGTAAATACAGATGAAACTGTTCGCTTTGCCCACCTCTCACTTCCTGCTTTTGTGACCCAGTTCCTAACAGGCCATGAACTGGTACCAGTCGGTGGCCTCGGGGACTGAGGAATCCTGGTATAGAGGGCTGAATGGTGCCCCCTACCCCAAAAAGATACATCTGTGTCCCAGAACCTATGTATGTGACCTTATTTGGAAAAAGAGTCTTTGCAGATATAATTAAGTTTAAAATCTTGAGATGAGATTGCCCTACATAAGAGTCCTCATAAAAGATACAGAGAGGAGAGGAAAGGGGGAAGGATGAGGCCATAGGAAGATGAAGACAAAGACTGAAGTGAGCCAGGTGCTGTGGCTCACAACTGTAATCCCAGCACATTGGGAGGCTGAGGCGGGTGGATCACAAGGTCAGGAGTTGGAGACCAGCTTAGCCAATATGGTGAAACCCCGTCTCTACTAAAAATACAAAAATTAGCCAGAGTATAGTGGTGGACATATGTAGTCTCAGCTACTAGGGAGGCTGAGGCAGGAGAATCGCTTGAACCTGGGAGACGGAGATTGCAGTGGGCGAGAGTGAGACTCCATCTCAAAAAAAAAAAACAAAACAACCAAACAAAACCAATCAACTAACCACACAAACAAAAATGACTGAAGTGAGGCAGCCACAAGCCAAGGCACATCTGGAGCCATCAGAAGCTGGAAGAGGCACAGAGCGTTCTCCCCTGGGGCCTTCAGAAGGGCTGTGATCCTGCTGACACCTTGATTCCAGACTCCTGGCCAACAGCACTGTGAGGAAAGAGATTTCTGTTGCTGTTAGCTGCCTGGTTTGTGGGAATTTGTTACAGCAGCCCTGAGAAACCAACACAGGTGGAGTCCTGTGCTGCCATGTACTGAGCAACCTTGGGTAAATTGCCTGACCTCTCTGAACTGACTTCCTGATCCACAAGATGGGGCCATCAGCTCTAGTTCATTAATTCACTCAACAGATATTTACCAAGGGTGTGTGATGTGCCAGGTGCTGGGTCAGGCCCTGGAAGTAAACAAAACCAGACATAGATCCTGCCCAAATGGTGCCCTGTGGTCTGGTGGGATGCCAGTTACCAATCCAAGAATCACGTAATTAGGGGCACAGCTGTGACAATGGTCAATGTGGTGCCCTGGAGAGTGTGCAAGTCAGGAGACCCAGAAGGCTTCTTTTGGGAGGTGATGACTGAGCAGAGGGACGAAGGAAAAGTCAAAAGTAAGTAGGCAAAGAGGGGCAAGAGGAGATTTCCAGCCAGAGGCAGGGTGTGTGCAAAGATGCTGCTGTGCACAAAGCACACGGGCTCAGGGGTTCGTGCAAAGCCACAAATCACACATGCTCCGGCGTGCATGTTAAAGCTGCAAAGCCCACATGCCCCGGGGTGCGTGTTAAAGCCGCAAAGCCCACATGCCCCGGGGTGCATGTTAAAGCCGCAAAGCGCACATGCCCCGGGGTGCATGTTAAAACCGCAAAGCACACATGCCCCGGGGTGCATGTTAAAGCCGCAAAGCACACATGCCCTGGGGTGCGTGTTAAAGTTGCAAAGCACACATGCCCCGGGGTGCGTGTTAAAGCCGCAAAGCACACATGCCCCGGGGTGCGTGTTAAAGCCGCAAAGCCCACATGCCCCGGGGTGCGTGTTAAAGCCGCAAAGCCCACATGCTCAGGGAGCTGCTGGAGGCAGAGCTCCACTGCAGGGGACTGAAAGCAGAGGTGAGGCTGGAACAGGACAGGGGCCCACCCACTAGGGCCTGAGAATCACACCAGAGGGGCTGATTTTTGATCCTGAGTGCAGAGGGAGCCACTTTGAGGCAGTCAGCAGGGAGGTGGCACGGTCAGGCGGGGCCTTTGAAAAGAACAGTGGGAAGCCGGGCGCGGTGGCTCACGCCTGTAATCCCAGCACTTTGGGAGGCCGAGGCGGGTGGATCACGAGGTCAAGAGATCGAGACCATCCTGATCAACATGGTGAAACCCCGTCTCTACTAAAAATACAAAAAATTAGCTGGGCATGGTGGCGCATGCCTGTAATCCCAGCTACTCAGGAGGCTGAGGCAGGAGAATTGCCTGAACCCGGGAGGCGGAGGTTGCTGTGAGCCGAGATCGCGCCATTGCACTCCAGCCCGGGTAACAAGGGCGAAACTCCGTCTCAAAAGAAAAGAAAAGAAAAGAACACTGGGGTTTTCTTCCACATGGTGAAACCCCACCTCTAGCTGCAGAGTGGGGAGAAACTGCTGGCCAGAGTGGTGGCAGGAAGGCCAGAGAGCAGGCCCAGATGTTATCCAGGAGGGGTGACAGTGGCTCAGACCAGGGGCCTGTGTGGAGATGGGAAGGAACCAGAGTCAATAGCTACTTAAGAGGTAAAACCACAGGCCTGTTGCGAGGAGTAAGTGAAATAAACTCAGAGAAGCACCAAGCAGTCCTGGCATGAACGAAGGGCTCACCAGCTCACCAATGACTTGAGGTTCCATTTCCTTCCTGAAGTCAAAAAGCCACGGGGGACCCGGCCCCAGGTGGCGGCACCTGTCACTAGCTTCTAGAGCCAAGGGTGAAGATGGGAACTCAGCATTTAGAGAGCGTAGAAAATCAACTTACCATCCTTGAGTGAGAAGCTCAGAAGGTCCTGAGGGAAAAGTAACAGGCATCAGTAACAAAGCTGATCTACAATCAGCCCACTTGTTTGACAAACATTGACTCTTACCAAGTGGTAGAACAAGACAGACAAAAAGCCACTGCCCTAGATTCTAGAGTTGAGCCAGATAATAAACAGTCAAGCAAAGAAAGAAAAAAATATGGGAAGACTTCAGAGAGCGAGGTAAGGAGGGGAAGGGGCTATTTTAAATCCATGTGCTTTCCCCACCAACAGTCTGTGTCACACGCTTCTATCTGCTTTAACTGCAGGCAGAGCTGGTAAGTGACAGGCTCAGGGGCACACAGCAAAGCTGCAGCTTCTGAAAAGAGGCGCCACAGCTTAGGAGAATGCGGGCTCTGAAGTCACACTACCAATGTTCAAATCCTGGCCCTGCCACTTATCAGCTGTGTGACCTTGGGCAAGTTACGGAACCTCTTTGTGTCTATGTTTTCTCAACTATGAAATGGGGATGGTCTTACTACTCACCTCATGAGGTCACTTTGAGATTTAGATGAGTTAGTTTTTGAAAAGGCACTAGCACATAATAAGCACGGTGTGCACATTAAGTCAAGAGTAAATATTCAACAATGATAATTCAACATCAGCTATGATCATGATATGATATTATGATGACTTATTTTATCTTCCAATTGCTCCCCACCACTAGATGTGACTTTTAGGCTGACACGAAAAGAAAATGATTTGTTCTGCTGTCTGTAGCAGCCGCCACCAGGTGTTGAGTGTACCTGAATGATCAACATCGGGTTGTCCTTCAAGATGGGGTCCTTCAGTAAAATCTGAACAAACACATCTGCTCCTTCACCTCCCAGGCCACTTGCAAAAGCAGTCATGGTTGGCAAGACGGCTTCAGACAACTCCAGCCACTTCACCAGGCCTGCCATGAACTCTGTGCAGAAGGAGCTGAAAGGAAGACGTGGCTTAGTTCCCATGATCCTCGGAGCTCAGCCACTGGGAAGTGTAGATTAGTTGTGGTCCCGGATGTGAATGGCTGGCACACGCATGACTTAGTGGCTGTGATCCCTCAAACACAGAGACAGTCAAAGACCTCATCGTGGGTGATGTGTATTTTTTTTCTTTTGAGATGTAGTCTTGCTCTGTTGCCCAGGCTGGAGTACAACAGCACAATCTCAGCCCACTGCAACCTCTGCCTCCCGGGTTCAAGCTATTTTTCTGCCTCAACTTCCCAAGTAGCTGGGACTACAGGTGCTTGCCACCTTACCCAGCTATTTTTTGTATTTTTAGTACAGACAGAGTTTCACCATGTTGGTCAGGCTGGTCTTGAACTCCTGACCTCAGGTGATCCACCCACCTCTGCCTCCCAAAGTGCTGGGATTACAGGTGTGAGCCACCACGCCTGGTCCGGGTGATATGGATATTGGTTTTTTTCTCTCACCAAAACATTTATCAAAGAGGCTGTAAGCAACAAGGGCAATGGATGGTGACTGGTTGCATGCCCTGGGCCTGGGCTGTGCCAGGGGCTCAGGAATAAAGATGACAAAACCTGGCATCTGAGGAAGCTCACAGCAGGGTGGACCCTCAAGTAACCAAGTGAGCCTAGTACCGTGTGGTACCCTAGGACAGAGGTGGGGAGCAGACAGTGCAGCCCACAGACAGAGCCCTGAATCCACCTGTAGAGGTGATGGCAGCCACCAGAAAAGGCTTCCCAGAGAAGGCCATCTGCTCCCCTGGACGTCACCAAGGATGTGCTCTCTGGAAAACACTGGCTGCTGCGGAATTGGAAGAAGTGAAGGGAAGAGTGCCCTCCACGTGCACTGCCACCGCCGGTCTCTGTCCACAGTGGGCATTTGAGTGCAGTCCCACAGGGGCCCCCAGGGGAGGATGGATGGGGATGCTCTAGGGGAGAAGGAGGCCTTTGAGCTGAGACACAGAGGTGGGGAGCCCAGAGCATTTGGGGGGACGATGGCAGAGTCCACACCAGACTTCTGACACAGCCACCTCTGTGGAGCAGGTATGAGCCGGGTGGCAGGTGGGCCAGGGGATGTGGGCCAGGAGAGTCACTTAAGAGGCGATGATACCACTCCCTGGAAAAGGCTGACACCCAGATGCCAGGTCTGTCTCCAAAACCAGAGTCCCAGCCTGCGTCAAACTGCACTGCCTTGGGACTCCAGCACTGGGTTCTGTAGGGCATACGTGGACTCAGGCCTCTCAGAAACAAGCAGAGCTTCCAGGTGATAGGGTCAATGTCAGGAGCCCCCTTGCCCTTCACTACGTGGCCCAGCTATCACATTCCTTAGAGTGGGGCCTGGGCCTTGATGGAAGTGTTGAGGAACCTGGGATCAAATCCTAGCCTCGGCTGGGCACAGTGGCTCATGCCTGTAATCCCAGCATTTTGGGAAGTGGAGCCAGGTGGATGACCTGAGATCAGGAGTTCAAGACCAGCCTGGCCAACATGGTGAAACCCCATCTCTACTAAAAGTATAAAAATTGGCTGGGCATGGTGGTGTGTGTCTGTAGTCCCAGCTACATGGGAGGCTGAGGCACGAGAATTGCTTGAACCCGGAGGCGGAGGTGGCAGTGAGCTGAGATCGCACCACTGCACTCTAGCCTGGGTGACAGAGCAAGACTCTGTCTCAAAAATAAATAAAAATAAAATAAATAAAATAAATTCTGGCCTCACCACTGCTATGGTGGGTTCCTGGGAAGCTGCCCTGAAATAGAGATGATGAGGGTTGCCCTTGGAATCAACACCTCGAGGAGGGAAGGGAGGAAGCAGGGCTGGGCAGAGGGAGCAGCTGAGCCGTGATATGGTCTCGAGGGAGGTCTCAGCACACCCTGCAGGGAGTTCCAAAGATGGGATAACCCTTCGGAACTGCCCCCAGCGGGGCGAGAGGGCCGGGGCTTTACAGCTGTGCCAGTTACTGGATGCCCAGGGAGGGGGCAGAACCTCGGGCAAGGGGACTCCCGTCAGCCTGAGGCAGGCCCAAAAAGGTACAGACAGCTCAGAGCTGTGCAGGCAGCCTTGCCAGCCGCTGGGGGCGAAAGTCCTTCATTCTTGAAGGGGAATCTGAGCAGAGAGCATCTTAGGAACGTGTAATAACCTCTCTGTGCCTCCGTGTCCTTATCTGCCAAATGGGTTCAAAAGACCAATTTCATAAGTTTGGTTGAGGATGAAGTGAGATGATAAATATTAAGCACCCAAAGTAAGCTTGGTGTGTAGTAGATGCTCAACTAATGTTAGCTGGCATCATTATTTTTATTTACAAGGCAACAGAGGGAGGCGGTGGAGGATGAAGTTGAGTCGGACTCTGAAGTTCAACCACCTGGGGGAGTCCTGGTTCCCCTAGAAACCGGCTTTGTGTCCTCACTTTACTTCTCAGCTTCATTTCCCTCTGAGATAACATGTGGATAATAACAAGACCTGCCTCACAGGTGAGTTGGGAAGATTAAATGGCATCGTAACACTGTCTGGCACCAGTAAACTCTGGATAAATATTAGCTACTGCTACCACGATGATTATAATTTTCCCCACTGCAATTTACTGGGATTACCTTGGGGTGGTAATGCAGTATGTATTACATATGTATTACTTACACACGGCGCACCTGGGCTGCTGGGTTTTTTTGTTTGGTTGGTTGGTTTTGAGACAGAGTTTCCCTCTTGTTGCCCAGGCTAGAGTGCAATGACATGATCTCGGCTCACTGCATCCTCTGCCTCCCAGGTTCAAGCCACTCTCCTGCCTCAGCCTCCTAAGTTGCTGGGATTACAAATGTGTGCTGTCATGCCCATCTAATTTTGTATTTTTAGTAGAGACAAGGTGTAAGTGATTCTCCTGTGTCAGCCTCCTGATTAGCTGGGGTTACAGGCATGCACCACCATGCCCTTGCAAATTTTGTATTTTTTGTAGAGACGGGGTTTCTCCAAGTCGGTCAGGCTGGTCTCAAACTCCCAACCTCAGGTGATCAGCCTGCCTTGGCCCCCCAAAGTGCTGGGATTACAGGCATGAGCCACCTCGCCCGCCCCCCTCTAGAATTTTTTAAGGTCTAAACCCATGCTCTTAACAGTTCTGCTATTCTGACTCCTAATATGTGATTTAAACACACACACAGGAGATACTGTCAATGATAGACAAGAAATAGAACAATGTCATCCTTTTGCTCCCATGGTCTCCTGTTTCAAACCCATCACAGCACTCACTCATCTGTATCTGTCCGCTGCTACAATCAGCCACCTGGGTGCCCCCACCTAGATGTAAGCACCTTGAGGGCAGGAGCTGGGCCTTGCTTGTCTTTGTTTCCTCCACAGGGCCATGTGCTTCACCCAGCACACAGTACTCAACAAATGTATGTTTCATGAATGAATGAATATTATCTTATCCCCTCCTGGACAGTGTCCTACTTGATTGGGGGATGGTATCTGTCTCATTCACATTTACCGTCCATGTACTTTAAATCATACCTGGCATACAGTAGGTGCACAAAAAATGCTTGGGAAAGGTATAAATGAGTGAATAACTGAATGAGGGGGTGTCTTATCCCTGCTACCAGATTGTGAGTGTCTTAGAGCAACAGTCCCCAGCCTTTTTGACACCAGAGACTGGTTTCAAGGAAGACCATTGTTCCACGGACCTGGCACAGGTAGTGTTCAGGATGAATCTGTTCCACCTCAGATCATCAAGCATTAGATTCTTAGAAGGAGCGTGCAACCCAGATTCTTCACATGCACAGTTCACGACAGGGTTTGAGCTTCTATGAGAATCTAATGCCACCGCAACTCAACCTCTCTGCACTTAGATTTCTTCGCCTACAGATGGGACTGTCCAGTATCTACCTGGAAGAGCCACGTCAGTAGCAAAGGACAGCCCATGTGGCTTAGAATTCATAAAACACAGAATCAGAGGCAGAGGTCAGGCGGTGATGCTTGCTTGCCCACTGCTCACCTCCTGCTGTGTAGCCAGGTTCCTAACAGGCTACAGATGGGTACTGGCCCACGGCCTGGCGGTTGGAGACCCCTGCCTTAGAGGGGAGGACAATGACTTGCCCCTCTCTGCATCGCCCTGTAGTGCCTGGCAGGCTGCTGGGCTCTCCGTAATTGTTCCCCTGAAGAAGCATGACCTTCCCTCTGTGAGAAAGAAGAACGCACCTGTGCTCAGGTTCAGAAAATAGCTGGGACAGGGAGATGCCACAGAGGGCGGCATAGGCAAAGCGGTTGGCCTCAGTCAGCTCCCGGCCTGTGGGTAGGTATGGCTCTCCCTCTGCAGTGGACTCAGCTACCGGGGGATACTGAGGCAGCCTCTGACATGGCCTGTTCCGTGTGGCCATTGCAGCCCCTGCAGGAGGAAAATCTCAGTGAGAAATGCTTCCGGAGGTAGGCGAAAGGTTACTTAAGCACGACATAGAACTTACAAACTGTAAAAGGTTGATAAAGTGGGCATCATTAAAATGAAGAACTTCTTTTCATCACCTTTAAGAGAGTGAAAACACATTAGAAACCAGGATGGTGGGAGGGATCTTCAGTATGTCTCTCCACAGAGGTTTCTATACACAGTATAGCAACAACTCTAATGAAGTCATTAAGAAAAAGAAATGGGGCAGACGCAGTGGCTCACGCCTGCAATCCTAGCACTTGGGAGGCCGAGGTGGGTGGATCACAAGGTCAAGAGATCGACACCATCCTGGCCAACATGATGAAATCCTGTCTCTACTAAAATACACAAATTAGCTGGGCGTGGTGGCGTGCACCTATAGTCCCAGCTACTCAGGAGGCTGAGGCAGGAGAATCACTCGAACCCGGGAGGTGGAGGTTGCAGTGAGTCGAGATCATGCCACTGTACTCCAGCCTGGGTGACAGAGCAAGACTCCATCTAAAAAAGAAAAAGAAAAAGAAAAACAAGCATATGTAAAAAAGGGCAAAAGACTTGAAGAGATACTTCATAAAAGGTAGTCCTCAGGCCCGGCATGGCGGCTGACACCTCTAATCCCAGTGCTTTTATACGCTGAGGTAGAAGGGTTGAGTGAGCCCAGGAGTTCAAGATCAGCCAGGGTAACATAGTGAGATTCCATCTCTACAGAAAAATAAAATAAAAGAACTGAGCTGGGCATGGTGGCACATGCCTGTAGTTCCAGCGACTTAGGAGGGTAAGGTGAGAGGATCACTTGAGCTAAGGAGTTTGAAGCTGCAATGAGCTATGATCATTGCACTCCAGTCTGGGCTACAGAAGGGCTACAGAATGAAACCCTGTATCTAAAAAAAAAAAAAAAAGATAGCCCAATAGCCAGCAAGTATGAAAAGATGTTCCAACATTATTAGTCATCAGAGAAATGGAAATTAAAATCCTAATGAGACACTACCACTCACCTATCAGAATAGCTAAAACTAAAAAGAAAATGGTTTGACAACATCCACTAAAGCTAAACGTCTGTCTTCCTTATGCTTTGGCAATTCCACTCCTGAGAAATGAGGACTTATGTCACCAAAAGACACATGCATGAGTGCTCACAGCAACTTCATTCACAGTAGTCCTAAACTGGCAACAACCCACAGGTCTATCACAGTAGAATGCGTAAATGGTCATATTCACACTGTGAAACATCACACAGCAATGAAAAAAGAATGAACTACGGCAAACCACAACAACGTGGATGAATCTCAGACAAAGTGATACACAGAAAGCCATTCACAAGAGAGTACCTACCACGGGATTCCCTTTATGTGAAACTGAAGAAGGGTGATGGAAGTCAGACGAGGGGTTACACGTGGGAGGGAGTATTAGCTCAGAGGGGTGCGAAGGTTTCTGGGTGAAGGAGACATTCTCTATCTTGACCTGGGTGGTCGTTATATGGGTCTAAATATATTTTAAAATTCCCTGAGCTGTATAGTTAAGATTTATGCACTTTGTGCACGGTATACCTCAAAGGAAGGAAGGAAGAAGGAAAAAACAGAGGAAAGTATCCCTCTGTTCTCCCTCCAGCTTTTCCTTCCTTCCCAGGGGGAGAAGAGAAAGGGAGGAGAAAAGGAGGAAGAGGAGGGAAGAGAGGAGGAGAGAGGGGACAAGCTGAGCAGGCATCCAAGAAGCGGAAAGATCCCTGGGAGCCACCAGAAAGGGTACCGGGAAGGGTGCCAGCCTCAACTACAGGGCATCAAGGATATGAATGCAGGCTTAGGACCAGACAGACCCAGGTGTGAAAACAAGCACCGCCACTTAGTAGATATGGGACCCTGGGCAACTCAAACTCTCTGTACTTAGATTTCTTCACCTACAGATGGGACCATCCAGTATGTACCCAGAAGAGTTGCGTCAGTAGCAAAAGACACAGCCCGTGTGGCTTAGTATTCATAAAGTGCTTAGAACGGAGCCTGGCGCAGGGTTCATGCTATATAAACACTTGTTTAAAAAGTAAATGCATAAAACGATCAACAAACAAATAAATAAAATGTTTGGTACAATGCCTGGCATATAGCAAAGGTTTAATAATAACAAGACCTAACATTACGGAGGGATTACTGGGTGCGGGGCACTGGGGCTGCAATTTTAACGTGCATTGTCTCAGTGGACGCTATGAGGCAGGTAGGACTGGAATATTCAGTTTGCAAATCAGGACAGAGGCTCAGAGAAGTAACTGGGCTGCACTCACACAGCCACTCAATGGCAGGCAGACAGAGCCCAAAGGTAGAACTGCTGGCCACCGGCTCTGTTTTAAGTATTCATCACCTGGCCAGGAGCCTTCAAGTCTAAAAACTACACTTCATACTGTTCTTGGTTCCTAAGTTTGTTCCCATCTAGCTGAGCAACAAACATTTTGTTCTCAAAATATTACTTCTGTAGAGGCGTTCTTTAAAAGTCTGTCCACAACAAGTATTTCATTAGTTTTCAAAACAACCCTGAGGTAGTTAAAAGCAACAAACCAACACTTTTGCAATGTTTGCAAAGCATTTTCCAATCCATTTAATTCTTTTTTTTTTTTTTGTATTTTTAGTAGAGATGAGGTTTCACCATTTTGGCCAGACTGGTCCTGAACTCATGACCTCAGGTGAACCATCCACCTTGGCCTTAATTCTTTTAATGTCAAAGTGCTGAGATTACAGGCATGAGCCACCACACCCAACCTTAATTCTTTCTCTTTCTTTTTTTTTTTTGAGACAGTGTCTCAACTCACACTGTTGCCAGGCTGGAATGCAATGGCGTGATCTTGGCTCACTGCAGTCTCTGCCTCCCGGGTTCAAGCAATTCTCCTGCCTCAGCCTCCTGAGTAGCTGGGACTACAGGGGTGCAGCACTACATCTGGATAACTTTTGTATTTTAGTAGAAACAGGGTTTCACCATGTTGGCCAGGATGGTCTCGATCTACTGATCTTGTGATCTGCTTGCCTTGGCCTCCTAAAGTGCTAGGATTACAGGTGTGAGTCACCATGCCCAGCCCTCAATCCATTTAATTCTTACAACTACCGTGTAAAGTAGGGCATGAACCATTATGAGTCCCTCTTACAACCAAGGAACGGGCTCAGAAAGGCCAACCAATTTCCCCAAAGTTACACCATAAATGATGAGATCCAAATCAGACTTTTGATTCCAAACCTGGAGCTCTTTCCTCTACACCAGCACAGGGATCTTCTTTCCTCTGTTTCAGATGGAGAAATGAAGGCCCAGAGAGGTTAAGTCACCTTGCCCAAAGTCACCCAGCAAGACTGTCCTCAGTGGTTGCTCCAGGAATCCACATTTGAGAATCGCAGCAAATTTCCCTGGCTCAGAGGGTCAGTGCAGAACATGGTGATGGAGACAGGGGGAACAGCATAAACCACGAACCGAGGGCAGTGCCAAGGGAAGCACTAGTCTGATGTCAGCAGGTCAGAAATTTCCACTACATTCAATCAACTCCACGTGCCACCTGGAGGCTGTGTTAATTGCACCTATTGCACAGAAGAGCCCAAGGTAGTATTTTATTGGGCTGGTGTTTGGGGAGCCCCACACCAGTTCTTAGCTCAACAATAAACAGCCTTCTGATAAGAGAAGGGCGAGCTGGCCTGCTTCTAACCACAGGGTATGAAGATGTGTCTAAATGCTAAGCTCAGGCCAGGCACAGTGGCTCACGCCTGTAATCCTAGCACTTTGGGAGGCTGAGTTGGGTGGATCACTTGAGTTCGGGAATTTGAGACCAGCCTGGCCAACACAGTGAAACCCTGTCTTTATGAAAATACAAAAATTAGTGGCCAGGTACAGTGGCTCACACCTGTAATCCCAGCAGTTTGGAAGGACAAGGCAGGCGGATCACTTGAGGTCAGGAGTTCGACACCAGCCTGGCCAACATGGTGAAACCCTGTCTCTACCAAAAATACAAAAATTAGCTGAGTGTGGTGGTGTGTGCCTATAATCCCAGCTGCCCGGGAGGCTGAGGCAAGAGAATCAATCACCTGAATCTGCGAGATGGAGATTCTAGTGAGCTGAGATTGCGCCACTGCACTCCAGCCTAGGTAACAGAGCAAGACTGCATCTCAAAAACAAACAAACAAACAAACAAACAAACAAAAAAGGCTAAACTCAGACCAAACTCATTCATTCATTCAATACAATTCCTCCTGATCCCCCACAGTGCATCTTCTATATAGTGGTCTCAGTGGCCTTTTTGTCACACAGACCAGTCACGTCACTAGCTTGCTTAACAGTCTGCAAAGGCCTCCCATTACATCAGGATAAATCCCAATCCTGGTATGATGGCCTAAGAAGGGCGTCCAATCTTTTGGCTTCCCTGGCCCACAGTGGAAGAAGAATTGGTTTGGGCCTTACATAAAATACACTAACACTAACGATAGTTGATGAGTTTAAAAAAAATTGCAAAAAAACCTCGTAAGGTTTTAAGAAAGTTTATGAATTTGTGTTGAGCCACATTCAAAGCCGTCCTGGGCCGTATGCAGCCCACAGGCCGAAGACTGCACAAACTTAAAAGTCCTGTGCAGTCCGGCGGCTGCCTGCCACTGAACTCCATCTCATGTCCCCACAACGGTCTTGTTCACTCTGCTACAGCCATACCGGCTGTCCTTCTGCTCGCTCCCTCCAGGCCTTTGCACCTGCCATTCTCCCTGCCAGGAACACCCTTCCCTGACCGTCACATCATTCTGGCCTCAGCCCAGAGGTGACCTCCTCGGAGAGATCTTCCCTGACCACCCGGGCTAAAGTATTGTGTTGGTGCAAAAGTAATTGTGGTTTTTGCACTGTAATAGCAAGACCCACAATTACTTTTGTACTAGCCTATCTCATCTCTGCCTTCTATCCCAGCACCCTGTTCTATTTTTATCACACTCATTCTTATCTAAAATAATGGTTTTTTAACTTATTTGTTTACCCGTGTATACAAATAGTATAGAACCTTTCTGAGGCAGTTCCCTGGTTATTTTTTCACTGTTGCATCCCCAGCTTTCTGGACAGGCCCTGGCTCACCGCAGGCATTCTGGAAATGCTTGCTGGATGAATGGAGAAGGGGCTAGGAGGTGGGAAGCCCTATTCTGGGCCTTGGGGCAGATCAGAGGACAAAAAGGACAAGTTCTCTGCTCTTAAGGGGCTTACATTCTGGTGCAAGACAGGCAATAATATGCCAATACATAATGACAAAGTGATCTAAATTGGTCAAGATCACAGAGCTAACAAGCGGTAGAACCAAGACACACTCAGGAGGTCTGGCTGCCGAATCCATGCCCTGGCAGCCCTCAACATCAAAGTAAGCATCCGTTCAGGAAGTGGTCAGGGGGAGGAAGAGTTAGGCAGGGTGAGGGGATATGAAGTGACGGGGTGAAGCGGGGCAGCCTACTATATGTGGATGAAAGGTGTCATTCCAGCAGAGGCCTGCAGAAGTCACAGGATGGGTGGAGAGGTATTCCTTAGAGGAAACAGCGTGGTGGTAGAGACGGACAAGTAATCAGACAGTGGTGGTGGGTGCGGTGGCTCACGCCTGTAATCCTAGAGCTTTTGGAGGCCAAGGCAGGAGGACTGCAGGAGCCTGGGCAACAAAGCGACCCCGTCTCTACAAAAATAATAAAAATTTAAAAATTAGCCAGGCATGGTAGAGCATGGTTGTGGTCCTAGCGACTCAAGAGGCTAAGATAGGAGGATCGCTTAAGCCCAGGAGTCTGAGGAAGTTGAGGCTGCAGTAAGCCATGATCACACTATTGCACTCCAGCCTGGTGACAGGGCAAGAAGATCCTGCCTCTCAAACAAATCAAAACAAAACAAAACAAAACAAAACCCCAGAAAACGCAGACGACAACAGCCCATGTGATAAACACTGGGATGGGGAAAGCATGAGAGACAGAGGGATCAACCCTGAACCCAGCACTGGCTCCCTGGAGAATGTGAGGGTACAGCTGAGACCTGAACAAGGAGTGAATCAGACAGGGGTGGGGTGGGCATGTCTTTGGCAAAGGGAACAGCACGTGTCAAGACCCAGAGGTGGCGGAGAAATGCTTCTGAAGAACCAAAAAGATGTTTGGTGCAGCTGGGGCTTGGATAACGGGTGGGCATGAAGAAATGAGGGGGGAATGGAAGCTGCCAAGGGCTGCCCCCAGCATGGCCAAGTTCGTCTAGCTAAGGAGGTAGGCTTCCTTGTAAAGGCAATGGCCGTGCGGAAGGCCAAATGAGGGCGCATGGAACCTCTTGGTACTATATTTGCAACTTCCTGTGACCTTATAATTATTTTAAAATAAAAAGCTAAAAAAAAAAATGACTAGTGGCTGGGTGTTGTGGCTCATGCCTATAATCCCAGCACCGTGGGAGGCCAAGGCAAGTGGATCACCTGAGGTCGGGAGTTCGAGACCACCCTGATCAACATGGAGAAACCCCCGTCTCTGTTAAAAATACAAAAAAAATTTAGCCAGGCGTGGTGGCGTATGCCTGTAATGCCAGCTACTTGGGAGGCTGAGGCAGGAGAATCGCTTGAACCCGGCAGGTGGAGGTTTCGATGAGCCAAGATCACGCCATTGCACTCCAGCCTGGGCAACGAGAGTAAAACTCTGTCTCAAAAAAAAAAAAAAAAAAAAAAAAAAAGAGTAGTGGAAAACCTCTATAGAATTTTTAAAACCTTTTCTTGAGGCGAAACTAAATTAAAAATTAATACTGACCTGTTAATGGGTTAATGAATCTAATAAACACATATTAGCCCTATTACAGTGGTGACTAAGACACATAAAGACCCTCCCCCCACCCACCCCCACCATTGGGGAGATTATAGACAAGGTAAACTCAGAAAGAAGACCATTTTAAACAATTACAAGGGGCTTCTGAAGGAAGAGAAACCTTTAATACTTACTCAGATTTCAAGAAACAACCGTGGGCCTCCCCTCTCTCTGTCTGAGACAGGCTGTTCAGGTTCTGGATGGTTCTTCAGAGAAATATGCAAATTGCCCTGCAGAAGCAAACCAGAAAAACCAGCCTGTGGGTCCACAGAGTGTGGGATCTGGGGGAAGCTACAGCAGAGGGAGCCGGCTGCTCAGCTGAAGCTCAGAGGAGCCTGGCACTACCCCTTCGCTCCCCTGGGTCCCTGCCCTGAGTGTTTTTCCACCTGGGATGTTCTTCTGAGCAGGGCAGTAGGGCAGGCAGCTACCATCGCTGAACACTCACATGCGCCCGGCACAGCCCCGCCACTTCCCATGGATTGTCTCATTTAATGCCCTTGTTCAACTCTTTGTACCCTGAGCTGTGGTCACTGCGTCCGGCTCCTCGGCAGGCACCCAGTCGCCTCCACTTCTGTACGTCTGTACCTGGTGCCCAACCACAGAGTGGGCGCTCAGGAAATGCCAGTTATGCGAACCGAGGAATGAACTAGCTTTTAGGCTTAAGCAAAAGCTAGATTTGCCGATTTTTCTCCTTAAAGGCACTCCTGTTCTCACATGCCAGCGGAGCATCAGATAGGTAAGGGAGATGGAGGAAGGGCCAAGCATCTGGAATTACCCAAAGGAGGTCTCAGGACCCAAAACCTGGGTGTCCCAAAGCTTCAGATAATTTGAGCCTCATCCTTAGTGCCATTTTATTTTTCTTTCTCTTTTTTTTTTGAGACAGTTTTGCTCTGTTGCCCAGGCTGGAGTGCAGTGATGCAATCTCAGCTCACTGCAACCTCTGCCTCCCAGGTTCAAGCGATTCTCGTGCCTCAGCCTCCCGAGCAGCTGGGATTACAGGCACGTACCACCATGCCTGGCTAATTGTTCGTATTTTTTAGTAGAAACAGGGTTTCGCCATGTGGCCCAGCTGGTCTCGAACTCCGGAGCTCAGGCAATCTGCCTGCTTCAGCCTCCCAAATTGCTAGGATTATAGGCATGAGCCACTGTGCGCAGCCCTTAGTGCCATTTTCAATGCCAGTGAAAATAATATTTTTTTTACCTCTTTAAGCTTCAATAGAGTTTTATTAAGTTATCAGTGGGAATGCTCTTCTCCTAGATGATGCCTTCCTCCAGGGCATGAGAATGTACCTGTACTGTGTCTAAAAATGGAATATTCATACTATGAGTCTAATCATGTTAAAGCAATGTAGAGGAGAAAAATGACTGGAAGAACATCCTTGAAAATTATCTGAATTACCATTCAGAGATATCAGAGACTTTTCTGCATTTTCCCAAAACCTGCTGCCATAAATTTGCATTGCTTCTGAACTCTCTAGAAGGTTATTTTGTGCTTATCTCTTTCCGTAGAGAGGGTACTGTTAGGACACGCACCAGGATGCTGGCAGTGGCTAACTCCAGGTGGGCAGGAGCCCAGATTGGATTCTGCATGATTTTAATTTTTTCTTTATATATCTGTGTTTTATGAATTATTGACAATAAGTATTGATTTTGAGATTGGAAAAAATAATTTTTAAATTACAACACGCTGCACTGGAGCCAGCTCATACCAGTTAGTGACAATCAGTTCTGGGCTTCTCCTTCCAACCCTGTGTCCAGTGACACTGGTGGCCCGAAATTGGCATGTTAGGGATGTTTACATCACAGAAATTGGCAAATGCTACCAATCAGGGATAATTTTATTCTAGAGAGGTGGTAGACCAGCATTCCACCAAATATACAATATGACTCTAGTTATGTTTTTAAAACATGTTTCAGCTGGGTGCGGTGGCTCACACCTGTAATCCTAGCACTTTGGGAGGCTCATGCAGGTGGATCACCTGAGGTGAGGAGTTTGAGACCAGCCTGGCCAACATGGGGAAACCCCGTCTCTACTAAAAATACAAAAATTAGCTGGGCGTAGTGGTGCATGCTTCTAATCCCAGCTACTTGGGAGGCTGAGGCAGGAGAACTGCTTGAACCCAGGAGGCAGAGATTGCAGTGAGCTGAGATTGCACCACTGCACTCCAGCCTAGGCAACAGAGCGAGACTCTGTCTCAAAAAAAAAAAATAAATAAAAATAAAACATGTTTCACAGAACAAAAAGATCAGAAGGAAATATATCAAAATGTTTATGATCATTGTCTTTTGGTTGGTGGGGCTGATAGACTAGAGGTGATTGATTTTTGTTCTTTCTGTTTTTCTGTATTTTTGGCATTTCTGAGCTTATTGGTGCTTTTATAATATATATGTTAAAAAAAACTTTTAATTAGAAACAATTCTGCCTTTTGATCCTTACAAGGGGAGTGTTTTATCTCAGGAAGTCCTGGCCCAATGTGGCCCACCAGCCAAGCCAGTGGGGCTGAGTTCACACTTAAGTTCTATACATTTGACTAATAGGTCTTGTCGGTAAGAAAAGGAGGCGGGTACAGTGACTCACACCGGTAATCCCAGCACTTTGGAAGGCTGAAGCAGGTGGATCTCTTGAGCCCAGGAGTTCGAGACCAGCCTGGGCAACATGGCAAAACCCCATCTCTAAAACAAATACAAAAATTAGCCAGGCGTGATGGTGAGCACCTGTATGTAGTCCCAGCTAGTCGGGAGGCCGAGGTGGGAGGATCACTTGAGCCCTGGGGGTTGAGGCTGCAATAAGCCGAGATCCTGCCACTGCACCACTCCAGCCTGGGTGACAATAGAATGAGACCCTGCCGAAAAAAAAAAAAAAAAGGAAAAAGAAAAAAAAGAGATTCCCTATTTAATAAATGATGCTGGGAGAACTGGCTAGCCATATGCAGAAAACTGAAACTGGACCCCTTCCTTACACCTTATAAAAAATTAACTGAAGATGGATTAAAGACTTATAAGTAAAACCCAAAACTATAAAAACCCTAGAAGAAAATCTAGGCAACACCATTCAGGACATATGCATGGGCACAGATGTCATAACTAAATCACCAAAAGTAATTGCAACAAAAGTGAAAACTGACAAATGGGATCTGATTAAACTAAAGAGTTTCTGCACAGCAAAAGGAACTATCATAAGAGCAAACAGGCAATCTACGGAGTGGGAGAAAGACTTTGCAATCTATCTATCTGATAAAGGTCTATTATCAATACAAGGAACTTAAACGAATTTACACGAAAAAAAAAACCAACCAACTCCATTAAGAAGTGGGCAAAGGACATGAACAGACACTTCTCCAAAGAAGACATTCATGTGGCCAAGAAACGTGGAAAAAAGCTCAACATCACTGATCATTAGAGAATGCAAATCAAAACCACAATGAGATACCATCTCACATGAGTCAGAATGGCGATTATTAAAAAGTCAGGAAACAACAGATGCTGGTGAGGCTGCAGAGAAAGAGGAATGCTTTTACACTGTTGGTGGGAATGTAAATTAGTTCAACCATTGTGGAAGATGGTGTGGCAATTCCTCAAAGATCTAGAACCAGAAATACCATCTGACCCAGCAATCTCATTACTGGGCATACACCCAAAGGAATATAAATTATTCTATTACAAAGATACCTACATGTGTGTGTTCATTGCAGCACTACTCAAAATGGCAAAGACATGGAATCAACCCAAATGCCCATCAATGATAGACTGGATTAAAAAAAAGTGGTACATATACACTGTGGAATACTATGCAGCCATAAAAAGAAATGAGATCATGTCCTTTGCAGGGATATGGAGGAGCTAGGAGCCATTATCCTCAGCAAACTAATGCAGGAACAGAAAACCAAACACCACATGTTCTCATTTACCGGGGTTTCTGTTCCTGCATTAGTTGAACAATGAGGACACATGGACACTCGAAGGGGAACGACACACACTGGGGCCTGTCAGCGAGTGGTGTGTGGGAAGGGAGAACATGAGGAAAAACAGTGAATGCATGCTGGGCTCAGTACCTAGATGATGGGTTGCTAGGTGCAGCAAACCATCATGGCACGTGTTTACCTATGTAACAAAACTGCACGTCCTGTACATGTATCCCAGAACTTAAAATTAAAATTTTAAAGAAAGAAAATAAAAAGAAATGGACAAGGGTTGGTGGGACAGACAGGGCAATTCCCAACTTCTCAGTTCTCCGTGACGCTGGAATGAGGGAGCCCATGGTTCCAACTCTATGGATTGTCCAATAGGACAGGACGGGCCCCAAAGTATTCCAGCTGCACAAGTGTGGGGGCAGCTGTGGGGTGGGAGATGTGCCACCTGCTGTCCTGGTCCTTGGGGGCTTCTACCCCTTGATCTGATTTAGGATCAGGATCCAGTCCAAGGTAAAACTGGATCTCAAGTGCGTCTGAGAAGTTACACTGATTCCAAGAAAGTGCTGGATTCCTGTGACAGAAAAAACCCTTTCTGTCAGGACCAGCAATATTTCTGTACCCTGGGGTCACCTAAGATACACAAGGCTAGTCCAGCAGCACCCTGGGCTCAGGAGTCTCTGACAGAAGGAGGAGCTCCCAGCTCCTAAGGGTCTTGTCCTGGGTACTGTGAAGACACGAAATGATAAGGCTTGGCTGTGTCCCCACCCAAATCTCACCTTGAATTATAGCTCCCACAATTCCCACATGTTGTGGGAGGGACCTGGTTAGAGGTAACTGAATTGTGGGAGTGGGTCTTTCCTGTGTTGTTCTCGTGGTAGTGAATAAGTCTCATGAGACATGATGGTTTTATAAGGGGAAAACCCTTTTCACCTGGTTCTCACTTCTCTCTTGTCTGCCATCGTGAAAGACGTGCCTTTCACCTTCGTCATTGTGAGGCCTCCCCAATAACATGGAACTATGAGTCCAGTTTTCTTTATAAATTATCTATTCTCAGGTATGCCTTTATCAGCAGCATGAAAATAGAGTAATACACCCAGGAACTCCAAGAAAGATCCAGAAGAGGATGAGCTCTCCAGGGAAACAACAGATACACAGTGAGAACAACAGGGCAAACCCATGCCTGCAGCTCAGCTGCACAGCCCAGACCCGGGATGGACAGGGGTCATTCTAGAGTGGGACCTCGTTTTGATGCCCTATGATTACAGCTTATATCTAGCCAGTCACATCATCTATCACCAAAGAAAACACTGACTGGGTCA